GGGGGGACGTTCGGAGTGATGGCGTTTGTCTTCCCAAGTAACCATTACACGTGATGGAGCCCTGCTTTCCTGGAGATGGCTGAACACCTGCCTGCCCATGGGAAGTAGTGAATGAATTCCTTGTTTTGCTTTGCTTGTGCGCGCAGCTTTTGCTTTACCTATTAAACTGTCTTTATCTCAACCCACGAGTTTTTCTCACTTTTACCCTTCCGATTCTCTCCCCCATCCCACCGGGGGGGAGTGAGCGAGCGGCTGCGTGGTGCTCAGTTGCCGACTGAGATTAAACCACGACAGCATATCATGCGTTGTGCGCATATCTATATATGCAAGTGCATGTACTTCTTCCCTATCCTTTAGTTATCCCTTTTTACCCACATCTCCTGTTGAAGACAGACAGCATTAATATGCTCAGATGCTCTGCTCTCTGCTATTGTACCTTTCAATATCAAGACAATCTATATATCCAACCTGATGAGACATAAACACTGCTGTGAGGGTTATTCATGGTAACAAATCCATATTCTAGTAGCAGTCGCTGATTATCGTGAGGCCCATAGCAGATAAATACTTCTTCGTATTTTTTGCACTGTGAATTTGTCCAAATTTCATAGCTTCTTGTCTGCTCATTAAATGCAGCCTTTACCTTTGAGAAATTAAAAATAAAAGGTTTTACTCTTGGCAGGAAGACAGGGTGAAAAAGGAATCAGACCTTGAATATTAAAACCCAACAGTATTGAACATTCCTCTAACACTGCAACAAAACAGATAGTGTTGCAGATGTCTGAAAAGACAATCCATTTGGATGATTCCACACCAGGATTACCCTATAAATATGAGTATGAGGAAGAACAAACATCAAAACCTTAGTCCACAGGATGTGCCACCCACTGTGTAGACTTATTGCAGAGGCCCCAAATCCACAAAAAGATGGCTTCATGCAGAGTTGGCCACTTTTATGCTATCCCAGTTCTATGCTGGCACACAGTCCCTGACATAAGGTGGAACTGCTCTATACACTTTCCTAAGGCTGCCCACAAGCTTCAACCAGAGGTGAAGTAACACAGGGACCGTGTAACTCGAGATTTGTCTCAGGAGCTGAGCCTTTCAGGAGAGCAGAGTAGGGTTATGTTTACAAGTGGCTCTTCCCAATAGCTACCTTGGATGCAAATCTTACCCAGCCATTGTGGGCTCTCCCTGTACCTTTGCTTTGCTACATAAACTGAAACATTTGAATCATCTTTATTCAACTGCCTTGGGCTGAACAGCAAGCTCCAGGGTATATACCAACCATGAGTACTCAGCCTGTGTATGTCCTCAACAGACGACTTCCCCACTACGAGATCTCTCACTGACCTCCAGACACTCCTAATCCATCACTTAAATGCATACTGCATTGAGATAGTGCATTCACAAGTAAAGAAATTAAGTGATCTATTTTTAATTTCTTACCTGAACATTTGGACTGTGGTTTAGCAAATCTAAATATGGTGCCAATGCATAAACATCTGGCTCAAGAGAAAAACATTCCCTCTGTGAATGTTTCATGTATATTGTCCTGGTATTAATAGTGCACCAAGCCCACTCCAGAGCACTGTAGTTAAAAACAGTTCCTGTGTTCTCAGCAAACAAAGGCTGCAGGGAAGAGAAAAAAGCCTTGGAAGACATGTACAACTCGTGGACCGTCATTCTCTGCTCCTGGGCCTTCTTTCTTAATGGTTGAGGAAGAAGGCTTACTACATCGTGCTCCAAACAAACAGGGCAAGTGTATGTCTTGGGTAAAACATCAAGATACGGCTTCCACAGAGATTTCTCACCAGCATGCTTCTCTGCTATTAAAAATGTGCACAGTGCTATCAAAGGAGATACAGGAGGCTTCCACCTATTAGAAAATAAAATAAAAATACCAACATTGCAGATACACAGAGGTGAGATAGGAAATGGATGCAGCAGTATTTTACCTCTCTTCTAGTTCTTTTAAATGCTATAAATAGCTTCTATTTTAAACTTCTTTGTGTTTCACCTCCAAGTCCTTTTGATGATTTCAAAGGGGCTTTTGACTTCATTTTATTGAGAAGCTGTAAAAGCTGGTTTGTAGTAACAATTTCAGGCTCACCCCTTGGGTTGGTTTTTTTTTGGGGGGTGGGGTGGTGGGGTGGGGGAGTGGTTCAGGATACATAACAAGTACACAATGTCCAACATAGGCCTTTGTTCTGAATTTTCTAAAAAGCCGTGTTCATGTGACTGCTTTGCAACCCCATTTTATCCCCCTTCTCCTATTGAAGCATATTCACAAATTCCCAAGAAACCATTCATAACTGGCATCTAGGTCCAAGCTGGCTCTAGAGGCAGGTCAAGTTCAAGCCTGTACCATCCCTCCAATTCTGCCTAGCTAAAAGAGGATGCTCTGTGTCCAAACCTTACTTATCTGAGCATTCCACATGCATGAAAGTCCACATGAAACATTCATATAAGTTAGGGTATGCAGTTTAAAGCCCTACCACCACTTAGATGATTCATCTACTAATGAGCAACCCACAGGAAAGGCCAGCTTGCCCATAAAATGTCACTTTTCACTTACCTCATAACGTATTCTCCTAAGCAGCTACTAAGGACAGTGCCCGTGGTGAGTAAGCATTTCTCAGGCAATGAAATAATCAGATCCCCTGCCTTTGAGGGAGAAAAAAAACCACAACACACACAAAGAATAGTAAAGGTCAAGTGTAAATGACTCATCTACTACACCATTTCTGAACAGAGAGACCCTCCCCAGAGAACACTAACGTCAGGAAGCAAACAGATGTGATGTTGAACTTGATGGAAACTGCCATGGTTTTAAGACAGTCACAGTCCAGGGAAGGAGGATGACTGCAGTCAGTAGGAACTGTCACCTGCAGAAAGTCAGCTGTTCACAGAAAGTTGGGTGCCTGGCTACTCACTTTCTTTCTACTGAGATATAAGTTAGATTAGACCTCACAAATACCTGAACTTCTATCAACATAGCAGTATGGGGTAGGGATAATTTAGGTCATGTCTATCCTGACCTTGTTTGCCAAGCTGCTGTGTGTTTAAATTAGCTTTCATGCTTGGCTTGAGCCATATGTGTCCATGCCTGTAGGGAGAGGACATGAATCAAGTCAATACTCTCTCCATTCCTCTCCTGAGTTTCCCTATCTTGCTCAAGCCCAGTTGAGCCTAGCTCTCATTTCACTCACTGTAGACTCCCAGCATTGTGGATAACCTGAGCCTCTGCCTTCAACTGCTGGCTCTAACCCTGAGCCAGCATGAGAACATACACTGTTCTCCACACATGATTTCTCCACTGCATCTCCTTCCTACCTCTTGCTATACTCTCTATTTTGCAAAAAGTGCTGGGTCTGATTCCCCATTATTTGATATACTATTCTCATACCAGTTAGGAACCTTCTCCAACAAGCCTATTTTCTGAGAGGCACTTTTCAGTCAGAGTTCAGTCTTTCTGTGCCAGTATCTGAAGGGCAAGGTATTTTTTCTATCATTCCCCTTTTCTGCTGGGAATGATAGAAATTATGATTCTATTAGCTGGTCTACCAACAAAGAAAAGGGCTATCAAAGTGAGGTTAAAGCCATGGTTTCACATTATGGCTAAGATAATCTAAAGCCCAATGCTGCTTAAAGTCCCATCGTTTTCCTCCATCCCCCTTCCTGATATGCCATTCCTCCCTTTGTACCAGCACTGGTCTGACCAAGGTGGGAGATTTCAAGGAGCAAAGCTATCAAAGCTAATATTTTTTTTGAAGAGAGAGTTTTCTGTTAGTTTAGGTTCCCGATGCAACTTACCACACGAGTGGGGAAGACTGCTACAGCCAGTGCAAAAGAAGCTGTGGGAGCCAGTGGCTGAGGGAGAAGGCATACAGGAGGGAAGAGGCCTGCTCCTTCTGGTTTCAGTTAGCCACTGATTGCCTTAAACTGAATCACAAGACTACATGCTAAATCTCTATAAATGAGTACAGGAATGTCTTCATCCTACAAGTCATCAGGGTACATAGGAAATCATCTTACAGATATGCCAACACTGCAAATTCTGGTATTAGGCTAGAGATTACATTCACAACAGGGACCATGAAGACTTTGCCTGCAATTTTGAGCTTTGCTTGTTGCAAAAGTCATTACATCTCAAAGAACCTGAGGAGCTCTTGCATTAGAATCAACATTACTAACCTGAAGAGCTTTTGTTGTCATCAATCCTCTTCCTGTATCTGAAGCAGGCACAAAGAGGATGCTTAAATACATGTATATATGTAAAATACAGGAGACTATGATAAGCTGCAATAAATTAACAGGCCAGCAAGGAAAAGCTCTAAAAGAACATACATTAAATCTTACAAATCATAAAAGCCAATTATGGATTGTTCCAGATATATACCTCATGTCTTTATTCTCTGATTCTCTTTTTACTTTTCAGGACCCTGTGAAAGCCCTTCCCCTGCATCCCCTGCAACATTTGCTGTCCAGTTCTAGCAATTACTCAACTTCTTTTCCCCAATTTTTTCTTTAAACACATCTTTCATCACTGGCTGCTGTTCTTGGTTTCAGAGTTTTAACTAAACTTTACAATTTCTATTCACAATATTTTCTCTCCGATTCATACTACTCTCTCTACTCTGTCTTTAATATTGCAAGTTTTTTTTAAATAATCTACTTAAAGAGAAAAACTACAAGTATATACCTTCACTGTAAACAGTACTACATGAATCCCAGCTCTAAAATTATTTACTTTCCTGTATCACTAGATCTGCTGAACTTGCATGGAAAAAAAGATGAAGAAATGATAACAAGGTTAGGTTCTGATACCAGAAACGCTTAAGAGATATTACTTTCTTCTTTAAAACTGTGCTACTAACACTTAAAATCTTGATTTCTACGAGGAATTCGACATAGGTGTGCATGTTTTGTAGCATACCAGAGTATTCTCATACTAGAGTTTTACATGAGAGCATCTTTATATAGGAAACAGTTTACAGTACTTCAGGCCTCCATACCTACTTGTTTACGTTAAATGACATTCACACGCATATACTAGAAGTCCTTAAAGGACTAAGAGTAACTGGCTTTTTTTCCTGATGCCAGCCAGTTGTGTGATTCAAAATGAAAGCAGGAATCTAACATTCTTAGAAGAATCAAATATGCACCACCAATAAATAAGTAAAACATTACCCCAGAATTGTGCTGGCCTTAAATTATTGTCTTCAAATCCTCTGTCTTTCAGCCACTTCTTAAGTTTAATGTATTCCATCTTGTGACTGCTGTTGACTAAAAGTAAAAAAGAGGGGATTAATGCTATAAAATAGCACTCTATTGGAAAATAAAGGAAATTGAAAAATTTTACTGTATGGTCAGAAAAACTATTTTGGACATTTTAGTATAGCGTAATAGAATAGCAAGAAAGGCCCCCCTCGAACTAGCTTAATAAGTTCTGGGCCTCTAGGCACTGGGAGCTCTCAGAACTGCAGGAGTTATTCAGCACAGTCCAGAGTCAAAGAATTTAAGAATAATGTAGTATTTCCCATTAGCCAGAAAAGAGAGCTCACAATATTCACCATGCTCTGCCTGGGACTGTAAACTAATGCTAGAATATTTGCATAGAAAAAGCTAACATTTATGAATGTTATTTTCTAAGCACACAGGTGTTTGATGAATATACACCACAAAATGACACCTTGACAAACAACTGGTTATTTTATTATTTAGCAGTACTTCCAGGGATAGTACCTCCATCCATAAAACTCTGCAAGTGTTTTCTTCTTCTTCTCTTTCGACCTGTCCGGCCACTGCTTTTCTTCATATTAAGAAACAGATTTTGCCTTATTTAGACAACCTGAATTAAAAAAAAAAAAGTTACTTAAAACTATTTAAAGTCTTTCAAATACTGCATATTTCTTTTATTTCAATAACAGAAATCAGAGCACTGCCTGTTTAATAAGCTGCCTCCTTAAAGTTTAGAAAACGTACTACAAACAAACCCTAAACGAGGGTGGGTGATAGGGGTGAGGGAAGAGGGGAAGCCTTTATCTCCAAACATCATCTTGGCCACGGCACGGCCATACCCCTCTAAAGCCCTGCCCCCCCCCCGCCGCGCAGCTAGGCCTCTCTCCCCCTTCCCTGTCTTACAGACAAAACCTCGAATGGCCCGAGGGCAGCGAACACCGCTTGGGTCCGCCTGTGCCCGCTCGCATTTTAATGCG